TGGCTTCTTGTCTTCCTTGGGAACCAGACCTTTTTTAACTCGAAGCCATAAAAAGGATGAAATCCATTACCTGATACCTTTCTATTCAGCTCTTCAGACCGCACCGTGGATGGAGGCCCCCGTGCGCCGCACTCCCATTGTGGGCAATGGCATCTAAACCGAACACTTTGAATAAGGCACATGTGAAAATGAACGCTGAGGGTTTTTTCCTATTCTTTTTTCTTTCTTCATTTTTTCTCTATTCTACGTCCAACCTAAAGCCATTGTCTTCACTGAATGACAGTGGAGACAGTTTGATTCTGTCTCCAAGTGCCGCCCTGGGAGCAGTGGGGGAAGGTGGTCATTTTGGTCCCAGGGTTAAGTTACTTGAATTCTCATCATTGTTCCGCCACTAACTTGCTACGTGATCTTAACCAAATCATGTGACTTCTGTATGCCTCAGTTTCTTCATTTGCAAAATAAAGATCTTTTGAAGTGTTTCTTAAGTCCGGGGCCCAAATAATTTTCCACGTAACAGGATCAACAGCGGCACCTTGTGGTGCCCCTTAAGAGAGCTTCGGATTTTTTTCCAGACCACATCCTAAGGCATTCATCCGGAGGAACCAAATCTCCCTGCCTCGCCCACCTCCCCCATCAGTTTCGCACCTTGTGAGATTCAGAAAAGTGCTTTTACCTTTTGTTCACAGGCTGTTTCCCAGCTGCAGACGCTGCTAAAATCAAGGTAAATGTATAGACCACAGACCCGGCGTGATGGCCTGTGGGGAAGTTCCAGGTTTGACGTGACCTCCAGGGTTTCAGCCCCAGGTGTCTTGGGTTGGCAGTGCGGCTCCAGAGCGGGACCTGGGGACAGCGAAGTGGGTGGGACGGGGGCGTGTATGGTTTCCCAGACCTCCTCCTGATCTGTGACGTGACCGAACTCCAAAGTGCCCTATGCCGCTGTTTTCCCATTCATAAAATAAAGTTGCCACCAATCTGCCTTCAGACTTATAGTACGTTCATTTTATTTACTCATTCATTCATCCAATAGTTAATGAGCACCTTCCTAGGCCCAGGTTCTGAGCACCTACATGTGCCAGTGATGCAACCTTGAGAAGGCACAGTCCCTGCCCTCTTCTCGTACAGTGAGAAGGAGACAGGACGGCCTTCCCCTGCATGCGGTAAGATAAGCCCTAGGACAGACAGTATGTGCACAGAACGAAGGGCCTGGGGCCTGAGGAAGGACATCTAACTGGGCCTGGATAAAGGCCTTTTGGTAGAGGACGGGGCACTTAAATTAGGATATGACAGAACGGGGACAAGTTTGCCAGATGAGGCACTCCAGAAGGACAAACGGGGTGAGTTTGGACACATGAACACAACCTAAGTGCCCTGCCTGAAAACCCAAAACCAAAACTCCCTTCAGTTCCTAATTTATTTATTTTTTTCTATTTTTCAACGACAGTTGACATTCAGTGTTATTTTACAGGAAAGCTAACCTGCCTTGACTCAAACCCATCTCCTTCTGGACGTCACCCCATTTCTCTGCTGCCTTTCGCGGCCAGCCTTTACGAAGGAACGAACTTCACGCTCACTTCCCCGCTTATTCAAAGTTCACCGCACCCTGCCTTAGCTGCCACCCCACTGTGACTAAACGACGTCATCCTAACACCATGTCCAAGTGAGCCTTTTTGGTGTCATTGTCTTACTTTTCTTCTCGCCGCATTTGCCACAGGGAGGCACTCTTCCCTTCCTGAAGCCCCTTCTCTCTGGGTTCCAGGAAGCCGGACCCCCTGGGTCCGTCCTAGTCCACCACCTGCTCCCGCTGGCCTCCCCTCGCCTCTCCCACTCTGCCCGGCACGAACTGTCCGTGATCTCTGGTGCTCAGTCTTAGATTTCCTTTTCATTTTCCACCTACAGAATCTCATTCAGGTGCATGATGTTAAACATTATATATCAGCTACTATTTCTCTATTTTTCTTTCTCCATTTTTCCTGTATTCTCTATCCAACCTAGAGCCATTGTCTTCACTGAATGACAGTGGAGACAACTTGATCCTGCCTCCAAGTGCCATCTCAGGAGCAGCGGGGGAAGGCGGTCCTGTCCGGTCCAAGGTTAAGGCACTTGAATTCTCGTAATTGCTCTGCCACTAACTTGCTACATGATCTTAACCAAATCGTATGATGTCTCTGTGCCTCATTTTCTTCATCTGTAAAGTAAGGGTCTTTGGAGTGTTTCTAAATCCAGCCTTCCCAGGTGGTTGGGTCTCACCTGGAATTCTGCCCGAGGGTTGGGTGGCCTTCCCTGGCATCAGTTTTCCTCAGGCCTGCCTCCTGCCAGAGAGAGAGCCCTGTGCCGGGAGCTCCGTCTTTACTGTCTTTAAACTCGTGTGTGTAATGATTAGTGCAGTGCCTAGTGAATGAAGTGAAATATAAAGAATCAAATTGTTTCAGATGGCAGAATAAACCTGTGGTTTTATCTTATTTTATTAAATGCTTGAGTCAATCCAGTTCACGTTGAGCCAGGTAAGCCTCACAGAGTGTCACATGCTCCATGTTTTAGGATGTGATCTAATTTTGAATTGTTTACTTTTTCTTTTTGTTGAATATATGGGGGTGACACTGGTTAACAAAATCATACAGGTTTCAGGTGCACAATTCCACAACACATCATCCGTACACGGTGCTGTGAACTCACCACCCCAAGTCAAGTCTCCGTCCATCACCATTTCCCCCCTGCACCCTCCTCCAACCTGCAATCCCCACACTGTTGTCCATGCCCATTAGGTTTTTTTCTTTTTTGTTAGATTGACTTCCCAGCCCTCACCCAGTCCCCTCCCTTTTCTAGGGACTGGTCCCCCCGCCCACAGACACACACATACTGTCTGGTCTCCCCTACTATGAGGTTCCCCCATGAAATCACACTGATGACCTCATTCGGAACACTTCATTCTCCTGATTACTCTGGGTTCCCAAACTTCATCATCTGTGTCCCTTCTGGTAGCTGATATTCTTTCAGGAAACAATGAAGCCGCAGCAGGTCATGTTCCAGTTTCAGGGGTATTCACGTTCTGGGTGCTTTTATTTATTTATTTGTTTGTTTGTTTGTTTATTTATTTATTTATTTATTTATTAAGCAGCAAACACAATTGCCAGGTGGGCAGGAGCAGGAAGCAGTGGCCCGGGTAGTGGAGAAAGGAAAGCTGCTCACGACCCGGCCCCTCAGCAGCCCAGCAGAGGGAAGCTGTGCACAGCATGCTCAGTTGAAATGAGGTAAGCCCTCCTTGAGGTGAACTTGAGGCTGAGATCCATTTCAACACGGGGCCTGCAAGGCATGGAGTGGCTGCCAGCCGCTGAGGAACTGAGAAATGGAACATCCTCGGCTCTTCCTTTGCAGCAACAACCACGGGCAGGGGGATCATTGGTTACTGAGATGGAAAGTTGTTATTAAAATAAACCTCCGGTCCCTTTATTCGGGAAGCCTCGGGAATGCTTATAAATGACATTAACCAGATTGCATATGCCCGCATTATGAGATGGAGAACCAGCTCTACCTCTGATAAACAGTATGACCCTTGGACAGATTACTTAAGAATTACAAATTACAAGTCAGATCCACAACTTTTTGTTCTGTAAAATGGACAAAATAATGCCCCTACACAGTTTACGAGAAATACATCAGACAAAACCTGTTGGGTGCAGACTACAGTGTCTAAGACAAAGTAGCTCAGTGAAAATAAATATTTTTTATGCTCTGACAACTGAGCAGAGGAAAAGTCCCTAGAGAAGTAGATCTTTTCCCTAGAGAATTTTTTTTTACTGACTTGCTCAACCACACGTGGATGAGTATAATTCAGCAGCCTAGAAGGGGAGGGACCCTGCCTCGGGTTATGGTTTGTGGTTTCCAGGGCTGTCAACCCAGTTGCCTGCTGCGTTTGTTCACCTTCGGATCCCTGCATCTAATAGCAAGTGCACAAAATGTTTGCTGACTTGAACTGAACGTGACCTGCACTGTCCAACCCAGTAGCCACCAGCCACTTTAAACACTTGAGGTGTGGCTGGTCTCACTTAACTGTGCTATACGTGCAAAATACACACCACAAAGTGCAGACTCAGTACAGAAAAGTAAAACATTTCAATGATAATTTTTATGTGGATTACATGAAATGACCATTAATATACTGTATATATTGGGTTAAATAAAGTGTTACTAAAGTTAATTTTGCTTGTTTCTGTATTCTCTTGTGCGATTACTAGAACTTTTCAACTTACGTGCATAGCTCGTATGTTGTACTTGTACTAGACAGAGCTCAACTAGCCAAAGACCACCAACTGGCTGAAAGATCACTGGACGTGTCCCAGACTTCTTTCTTGGGGCCTCCTCACTTGTGAAAAAGATGTGAAGCTCTATCAGGTGTTTCCAGTTCCCACATTCAATGGCTTTATAAACGCTAGGCTACAGTTTCTCCATTGCTACCATGAGCTAAAGAGTTCTACGTACATTGTCATTTAATTTGCCAAATACATTTAAAAGAGAAGAATGATGCACCTCATTTTGGAAAAGTACGAAGGAGAAAACTGCACAAGTTAAGAGAACTTCGCCCCTCTTCTCTAGTTCTTTGTAAGAATTTCCAAGAGAGGAAGTTGCCGTGGGTGCTTCAGCTCAGTCGTCCCTAAAATGTATTTCCTTGGAAGAATGATATATCATCAGAATCGTTGTAAAAATGCATGTAAGAGGAAGACAGGAGGAGCTCTGGTGGCCTGTCAGGTTTGGTAGATCATTGACACCCAGCAGGAAGGTGCTGGGAGGCTTCTGAGGAGAGAAGATCAAGAACTGCTGGAGGTTAATTGTTCACCGGCTTCAGAAGGTAGGCCTGGGAGGGCGGCGGGCAGTGAAACATTGACCAGTTCTGATTTAGATGCAGGAATGTGTTAGGGAGGCACGGAAAGGTCAGGGGAGCAGTCGGCACCTGAGACAGCTCCCACGGGCCAAATTCCTCTCCCAGAGACAGAGATGTGCTCGGAAGGGGAGAAAAGGGCCTCCGGGCTCAGAGCACGCTCAGCCTCCCGGTTTCTACAGCCACTTCCAGGGCCTGCTGAAGAAAGAAAAAAATGGTGAGGTCATGTTTGACTTTTTCAACCCCCCAAACTCGACTACATTTTGGAAAGCTGGGAGCAGGCGGGGAGGGATAAGAAAAACAATGACGAATAAGTAAGATACTGCCCTTGCTTTGGAGCCACACTGGAAAATGCAATGACTGGGTCTGAAGGTTCTTGGACTTCGGGTTCAAGTGTTGCTGGCTCCACCCAGCCAGGTATAATGGAGGCAATTTCACTGCCCTCTGAGTCTGCTTACTCAACTGGAAGGGAAAAGTAATAAAATCTACCTCCAAGTATTGTTATAGTAATTATATGATAATGAGAAAACTCCTGACTCCCAGTCCAATCCACCTTGAGGTGGAGAACAGAAAAGACAACACCATAGTTGTGAGTGGTCCGGGGGCTCCCACAGCCCTGGGGGAAGGTTCCAACTCCCTTCCCGCTGCGATCTGGCCCAGCTCCCCTCCTGCCCCACCCCCTGCTTCCCCACCCCCCGCTCCACCCTTGGCAGCTTCTGATCCGTGACACTTTTAGAACCAACATCCAGGATGTGGAGGCTCAGCATTTCATTCCTCAGCGTTTTCTGCAGCCTTCAAGTCGCCCATGGGAACTGACCCCCCTGCAAGGCCCTCCTTTAGCTCAACCCACCTAAACGCCCCCCCACCCCATTCTTTCCTGGGGTGAGCTCTTAGCCCAGTGGGGCTGTGCTTAATCTCCACAGATATCACTTGACAAAGAGCATGTTGCATTTCTCTCCATTTTTCTTAAAACACAAAACAAAAGTTTGTTGGCCGACTGCCCGGTGTCTGTTATGTAGACCAAGATTAAATTTCTCTTGGGCTAGCTTTCAGAGCCCCTGGATGCTGGACTGAAAAGTGATTTACATTTTCTTTTGGCAGGGAGTTACCCAAGTGGGAATTCCCTTGAAAAATAACCGTTTAACTGAAACTTGTGCGTGTATGAGCACACGCAGGTACACATGCCCGTGACTGGTAAGGCTGATAAGCTTCATCCCACTGCTTGATAAGCTTCAGAATTAAAAAAAAATTAAGAGTCAGGGAACAGAGTTTATAATATGGCACCTTTAATGGTAACAGGGTTGCCATGACTAAGTGTGAAATTTGATCCTGAACTGCAGGTAAAAAGAGAAATATAATCGGGTAGGTGGCTCTTACTACTAGCAAGGAGGGTCTTTGGGGGAGTGTTGGGAACATTATAATGACACTTACCATTCACTGAGCGCTCACTATGTGCCAGGAGTACATTTAGTATTTCAGACAAGCACACGAATTGGGCTTTTCTTTTGTGGTTGAAAAAATTCAGGCTCACTGCGGTGATGGCTTTTGTAAGGCTTCCCAGCTAGTGGGTGTTGGAGCCTGAATCACTACCTGAGTGTGTCTGGCTCCAGCTACTACCCCGGGCTGCCTCCCAGCCTCTGGCAGACGCGTCTTCAACAACGTTTTCATGGCAAATATACTACTTTTTTAATGGATGTTTGACCTTCAAGTAGAAATTTCAAGACTTTGGAGTTTGTTTTGGTGTCATGTTCAAATTGAAAATGAGCCGACTGATTGAGGCTCGGAGCTTTGCCGCATCCCTTCCCCTATCAAAACATAGATAAAACTGAACATATACTGATTCCACCAAACCAAGTACCCTATGTTCCCTTCTCTATTAAACTTCACAATTGTGTGACTTTGAGTCCTAATAAATGGTTGTTGGTTACCAGTAACAGGACCCAGATGAAATAATTAAATCAAGGGGGACATGTCATTATGAAGAATGCCATATATCTGGGAGAAATTTAGGGCAAGAAATGTGGCTGGACTTCTGAAAAGAGGGACGAGAAGCAGAAGCTGGAAAATCAGAACCCAGACAACGGGAGCTACTTCTCGGGTGAGAGCTGTCAGTCCTGCTTCTCTCTGCATCTCCACGTACGAATGACCCTCCTTATTTCCAAGTACAAGGACCCGGGTAGGGTTACCTTCCCAGCCTTTGGTGGATGAATTTGGGAAAAGGGCCAGGCACTCATAGCTCCGCCCCTTTCTCCTCCCTGTCTTCCATGGAGCCCCTCAGACAAGTCCCCAATCTCCCTTCACTATGTATGTGAGCCAGCCACCAGCTGTTCCAGCTGCCTCTGCAGCCTTTGTCTCACTGGGGTCCTGCAAGGCCACACTAAGCCATGTTTATAAAAAGCCCATGTACTTCTCTTCCTCTCCCATAACCTCCTCCACCCTCAATTCACTCTGAAGCGAGGCAGAAAAGGGGGAGGCGGTGCTCACTGGGCCTCCATTGTGCAGTCACATGGGGCCAGCCAGTAGTGGGTGGTCTCATCCTACTTTCCAGGTCAAGGATTAACAGAGACTCTGGGTTCTTTCCCAACTTGCTTTGAGATTCTGACTGGCCCAAACTAGGCTAGTCCACCTTGGATTTAATCAGCTCTGCCAGGTACCTGGAGTCACCCAGTCTGAACAGAGAAGAGAGTTGTTGGAGGAAGAGAATTGAGGCTAAGCAGAAGCCTCCAGGTTTCTATTACAGCTAGGCGTTGTCATCTAGCTGCACCTTAGGGAGAAGACGGTCACAGCCAATATCGGAGCTGAGTTTCATACCCAGGTCGGACTGACACTCATGGTCAGGTTTGTAACCAAGACAGAGTTATAAGACCCCAGAAGGTGACCCTAAACTGGGTGTTCTTCAGTTGGCTTTGAATAGAGTGCTTGGTACCATATAAATGTTTTCAACAGTAATGCTGAAAGCAAAGCTAAGATTTTTTCTTTTTTATCCTCACCCAAAGACATTTTTATTTTTCCTTGCTTTTAGAAGCAGAGGAAAAGGGGAGAGTGAGAGAGGGAGAGAAAGAAGAGAGAGAAAGATCGATGTGAGAAAGATACATCTATTGGCTGCCCTCTAGTACATGTCCTCTCCGGGGATTGAACCCAAAACCTGGGTATTGTGTCCTGACCGGGAATCCAACCTCTGACCTTTTGGTCCATGGGATGAGGCTCCAACCAACTGAGCCACACTGTCCAGGGCAAGGCTAAGATTTTTCCTTTCACTTTTCAGTGGCGTCTCTTTTCTTTTCTTTTCTCTTTCTGGGCTCCCGAGAATTGTGCAGATGCGGAGACTAACAGAAAGCACCCCGTACTTGATGACAGAAGGTCTTCACTTGTAAGTTGTGTGTCCCAAATCACTTGCCTTAACCTCTTTAATCATTCAGTGTTTTAATCCATTTAACAAATACATATAAATATATAATACATATGCTTATATATTAAATCATGAGAAATACATAACTAGCATATGACACATCATGTTATGTATTGATATATATAATACATATGTTTACTATTATATCAATAGATTGGATATCTACTATATGCCAGCTCCGTGCTAAGTGACTAACTGTACGAAATCCTACCATATGCTTAGTTTCTCAAGTAAGAAATTAAAAGTAAAATGAACTACTCTGAGGTAATATTTTTCTGCTCTTAGACTGCCAAATGTCCACACGTTCTGCCACGCACATGGTGAGACCAAGGGAAAACAGGTACACTTATACATTGCACGCGGGAACAGAAAGGGGTACAGCCCCAGGGAGGGCATTCTGCCAAAATTTGTTAAAATACAAACTCATATACCCTTTATAGCAGCGGTTCTGTTTCTAAGAAATCATCTTTCAGATGTTCTCATGCTCATAAAAATTCACATGCAGGGACTGCTATACTTGCAGCATTGTTTATTATACCAAAAGATTAAGAATCACTTAAATAGTCAACAGGCCTGGATAAGCCCCTGATTAAAACACCGGGTGGGCATCAGTGACAGACAAGGAGGAAGCTCACTAAGTTCTGGAATGGGAAACTGCCAACCAAGACGTGCCGGGGAGTGGGAAGAGCCAAGCGTGGGAGTCTGTTAACGTCATACTGATGATGGTATTGGTAATAGAAATAGAATTAATGATACGCTAACACAATAAAATAATTTACTAGCAGTATTACAATTGACATAGTATGTGTATGCAAAATATTGTATGGGCAATTTTTTTAAATCTAGAAATATTTTTAAAAAACAATATAAGGGGATCTTCGGTAACAAATGTAGTTGGGAACCTATACTTGCACATAGAAGCAGGGATGGGAATAAAACTTGTCACTATATGTCTTTTGAGAATTACTGGATCCTGTGAATTTATAACCTAATCAAAAGCTGAAATGAATATATGTAATTAAAAAAAAAAACAACTGCCATGAATGTGAAGAAGGAAAAGTCCAGGGTGCTGCAAGAACTGGTAGTGGGGGCGGGGACTGACGTGGTCTGCAGTGGTGGACCCTGAAGAAGTAACTTTTAAGTGGACACTTGAGGGGTAAGAGGGCAGCGTGGCACGAGGATGAAGAGGGCTGTCTGGGAAATGGGAGCACATGTCCAAAAGCCCTGGGGAAGAAGCACGCGCCCATCTTGTGACTGTGGTGAAGATCCAAGGGCGTAAAGGGGAATAGGTAGCTGAATACAGTGCGGGGGGCCTGATCGTGTAGGCTGTTACGAAATGTGGACTTTATCCTAGGGACAGTCGGAAGCCATTAAAAGGGTTTAAGCAGAAAAGTGATGGGATCAAGGTTGTGTTTTGAATAGCTTGCTCGGGAGCCTGTGGGGAGAAATGACGGGAGGGAACAGGAGTGGATGTTGACAACTCGTATCTGATAAACTGCTTTGGAGAACCATTTGGTGCTTTCCTACAGAGTTAAACATGCACCTACCCTATGACCCAGCTGTTTCGTTCTTAGCTATTTATGCAAGCTAAATGAAAACATATGTTCACACAAATATTTGTACAAGAATTTTTATAGCAGCTGTATTTGTAATAGCAAAAATGATGCCCCCAGAAACCCACGAATTTCTACCAAAAAATAAATTCCTAAGCAAATTGTGGTGTATTTATGCAATGGATTTCTACTGAGCGCTAAACAAGGAGGCACTTCTGAGACACACAAAATGGATGCTTCTTACACCTGTGAGGAGAAAGCATGACACAGAAATCAACGTGCTGTATCATTTCATTGCTGTGACATGAAATTCGTGTACAAAAACAGTGAGCTATAGTGGTAGAAGTCAGGAAGTGATTGCCGGGGTGAGGGAGGGGGGAGGGACATTTAGAAAGAAAAATGAAGGCGCGTTCTGGGGTATTGGAAACATTTTATATTTTGCTGTGTAGGGCAGGTACCCTGGTACAACCGCCAAAATTCATCAAAGCGAACAACCAAGACTTGTGCTTTTCATCGTATATTAAATATACATCAATAAAAATGAGAAAAGAAAGGGTGGACATTGAGAAAGGTAGGTGTTTGCAACAATCCAGGAGAAAGGCGACGGTTCCCGGGGGCCTGTCCTGGGGATGAAATGAAACCTGTGTATGAGAGGGCAAACTGCAAAGCTCCGGGCAAACCATGAAGCTCTGTACAAACTGTGAAGCCCCAGGCAAAAGTGAGGGTTTAGTCTAACTTATTCCCCATCAAATGCTGCAGGTAAGTGGGGGCCATCGGAACTGCCCGGGGGCGGCCCTGTTTGTGTGTGATGAAGGGCTGGGGGTGATTAATCACAATCTCCTTGTTGATTTGTCACCATTTGGCAGGAAATGAATCCAATGGCTGCTGAGTTTCATCAGAACACTTGATCTTGGGGTTAAAAAAAAAATAATAAAGCAGGGGGGCAGGAGCTGCTTTGACCAGGGATGGTTTTCTACTGAAAACTGGGCTTTCCCAAACAAAAAACACATTCAGCTGCTGGGCTTGAGTCTTGAATTTATTTTTTTGAATAATTAGTGTTTGAAGGGCACAGAAGAAAGGAAGCAGACTGTCAGTTCCCGAGGCAGGAACCCTAACGATCAGTGACATGGCCACCCAGAGTTCGGGAGAGTGAGCTGGAGCCGGGAGTGCGTGGGAAACACCCGTGGGCTGCTCGGATCTCGGCCTGAGTGCACGCGGGTTCGGAGCAACAGCTGTGCGGAAGTCCGCCAGGAACCGGCTGAATCGCCAGTCACTCACCATTTCACTTACTCCATGTTTTCATAGATAATAAATTCCTCATTATTTTCCTTTAATTTAATGTTGATTCCCCCACCCCCAACCACGATCCTTGAGCAGACACAGCTGGATCTTTCCTATCCACACCAATGAACACTAAACATCTCGCTGCTGTACCTGGGCTCTTTGTGCACAAATAGAAGGCATCCTTGCCCAAGGCAAGGTCTTAGATGCCATGAGCTCCAGAAGCAGTCGAAGATCTCATTCTGAGCTGCAGTGGACATTTGTAATAATTTTATTACCACTATCTGTCACCCAAGCCCTCTTTCTATTTTAAGGGTTGGTTTCTCCTGGTGTGATGTAGAACCAACCTTCCACGTTGTACGTCGAAAGGGTCTCTCTCTCTCTCTCTCTCACACACACACACACCCTCAGCCCTGGCACAACCTGAGTATGCACAACTGACTTGAGCTTCGCCCAGCCGGTGGTCTTCTCTGGAACTGGGAGTCTCCAGGGAGCAATAGAAGGACGGGATGTAGTTGGTGGTTATCCGTGGAGGCAGCTGGAAGTCATTTGCTCAAAAGCAGCAGAACTAGCCTGCTGACCCAATTGCTGCTGCCAAGGCAACGTTGCTGTGACTCAGCTTTGGCCTTGGCCTCTGACTCCATTCTGGATGGGAAAGCTGAGGTCTAGGAATTGAAATGACAACAAATTATCGTCCCCCTCAAAACTCAAATCCAGACCTGTTCACTCTCCTCACTGCTTCCTTCCTAGCACAAGAACATCCCACTAATTCTCCACCCCCCCACCATTTCTTAGTCTAATTCTCTCTATGCTCCAATATCCCTCCAATAAATTCTCTTTTCTAATAACTTACCTAGAGTCTGTCTTTACTGCTGACACCCAGACAGACACCCAGTCATAAAGGAGTGGCTTCATTTCCTATTTGACGTTTTCTCAGAACAGCTCTCATGCAGTAGGTACCTCCTGGGTATAATGTGCACCCATGTTTTGTGCGTATTACACACGGGATTATCATACCTCATGGTGTGCAATCATTGTGCCCATGTATAACAAGCATCCTTATTTTTCCCTTGAAAATTTGGGCAAAAAAGTGCATGTTGTACACAGCAGAATATGGTAGCTCAGACACTCAAGTCCAAGGCTTTACTTTGGGAGCAACGGAAAGACACCTGAACGAGTGGGGCTGGGGCTGGGGCTGAGGTAAGAGGAGTGAAAAAGGGGAAGAGCGGAGGGAAAGGACTATGTATTTCCCAGCTAGGACTGAGGATACGGCCATGGTCAGCAGAGGCAAAAGCTCTCACAGACGCCAGGAGCTGCGCTAAGCGCTAGCTCTTGCAGTAACAGCACAGGGAGGGGCCTACACAGGGAGGGAGCTATTTCCACACCAGGAGGGAGGGGTTTCCACATCAGAAGTGGAAAGAGTGAGAGTGGGTGAGAAACTGTCACACAGCTCGCCAGTGGCAGAACTGGCATCTGGAGCAAGTGGCGTTCCTAACCAGATGTCCACTTTCCGCTCAGTGGGGTGGGGTGGTAAACCCATGTGTCTTTTTTTCTTTTTATATCATTTCAGATTCGTATCCATGAGGTGGAATGAGTTCACCTGGGCATAATGACGTAACGAGATCACTGAATTATGTATTTATTTTAAAAACATGAGGCAAGAACGTTGCCGAGCCCCTGAACGGCAGAGCTGGAGGCGCGTCCAAGCCTGTTTTAATTTAAGTGGAATGGCTCCAACCTGAGTGTGAATTTGAGACTGTGTTTGCTTGTGTTTCTCTATTTTTTCAAATTACTTCCGTATGTCTCATCTCGTCTCTTTCCCCCACTTCTGGATGAGAAAACTGAGGTCGAGGGCTGGAAAGGACACGTCCACGTTCACGTTAGCAAATCGTCATCGGAGCCAAAACTCAAACCCAGGCCCCTCCGCTGTTCCCTTCCCAGCCCGGAATCCCCACCACACCTGCTGAGCTTACTGACGTGACTTGAGCCGATCTGTCCTGATGATTCGAGTCAGCCTCCTGGCATTATTCAGGTAAATATTAGCCCCCCATCTCTTTCCAACTACATTCCGTTTCCCTCCGGCTTTGTTTATTCCTTCACCTTTTCCCCTGCATGCGCCTCTCCTCCCTCCCCCTTCCTCCCGTTCCCTATTAATCTCCTTTCCTTCTCTGCTTTCTGCCCTTCCTCTCTGCTCACAGACACATTTGTTTTCCTACATAGGGATGGTATCATGTTGACGGGTGGCTGAAATGAAAGTCTCTTTTAAGTCCCTGGAAGCAGAATATTTTCTTATGGATTTTTTTTATTGTTTGGACTGTTTTGCCAGGCTAATGAAAAAAGACTCTGAGGTCCCCTTATCTCAGGCTGACCAGAGGACGCCTTCAAGTTTTTGTTTTTGTTTCCAAGCTGGTTCCTTACAAATGCATCCAGAAGGTCACTCTCAGGTCCCCAAGATAGTGCTGGGTGATCAATCACGTGCAGGACATCAGCATCACAGAAGATAATCCCATGCATGGGAGGATTTGGGGAAGCAGAAAGGGGAGTGGTGCAGGACTGAGTTTGGGAAAGGTGGCCTGATGGATTGCTTTCTCCACCAGTTCGGGATGGTCAGCAGTGCCTTCCAGCTCCAGTGGCCAAGCTTCCCCTCCGACAGTTCACTCCACATAAATAAATACCCATGAACATAAAAGGCTTAGACATTTCCCAGATAATCTGATAATTGCAACTCAGCGAGATATAAAGAATGTGTTTAATAGCTCTAAGGGCTGGGTCCACATGGGGCCCCCAGCCACGCTCCCTTTAAAACAAACAGGGGACTCCAGCCCCGGCTTTGCCAAGGACAAGCTTTGTGATTGGAGCAGCTCACCTAACATCTCCGAGCCTCAGCTTTCTCAACTAAAAAATAAAATAATGAACTAGTTCATTTTTTCAACAAAAACTTATTAAGCATCTATTTTGTGACAGGCCTTATGTTAGAAACTGAAAATTTTTCTGAAAGGATAGAACTAGTCCCTGGTTTCAGGGGATCTCAAGGTTTAATGGGGACAAATATGAGTATTAAAGGGAAATAACAACAATATTTTCAGGTGCTCTTATGGCACTATGTGCCAAGTGACAACGGTGGAAGGACAAAGGCGGAAACGATCTAGAAGCTTTTCTTTAGGATTTTTCCCCTCCCTAAAAGACTTGTATGCATGGCTTTTTATTTGTTTGCTTTGTTATGATCTGCTTTTCATGCTAATACATTTCATATTTTCTTGACTAGTTATTTTCCAGTCATTGTTGTCATTATGAGCAAATGCCAATGACTTTATCACATGCTGTTTAATAGCACCGACAGTTGTAAAAGTTCCATATTATGATAACCATTTTTAATGTAAGGACATTGAAGCTCAGAGAGGTTAAGGAATCTACTCAAGCTCACACAGCTAGGCAGTTGCTGATCTGGCATATGAATCCCCAGCTGTCAACTCTAAAGCTCATGCGCTTTCTGTGGCTCAGTGCTGCTTCAGGTACTCGCAGCTACTCAGGCCTGGTAACCGAATTTGCAGGACGAATTGCAAAGTAAAAATATGGGGCCCTTTGTTCAAAAATGATTAAGAATTTCAGCATGGCAACATTACACAAAGCAAAAGGTCTTTCTAAGGATGGGGCCTAAATGACTGCCAAGGTGGCACGCCCTGCCAGGCACAATTCCCTTTGCAGATGGCATCTTCCGTCATGGAGCAAAAGCATCCCAGCAACTGGCAGGCCCAGGCCACAGTGGCAGAAGTTTTCCATGGGCAGGCTTCAAGTACGGGTTTCCTGATGTTCCCCAGTAGGTCCAGTGTGGACCACTTGGGCGGAACTTGTGGGCACTGAGATAGCTTCCCCCCGAGGAGGAACACCTTACCTGGAGAGAGGTGCATAATCACCTGCTGACAAGGGTTCCGACTGCACCCCCCACCTTACATTTATAACCTGAGGGGGAGGACATTAAAGCATCACAAATGGAACAAAGCTAAAACCACTCAGCCTCTTTTTTTTTTTTGTAGGAAAAATTTTTTTTAAATTTTTTTTATTTTTAATATTAAATTTTATTTAGTTTCTTTTCAAGTACATTTTTTTTTTTAATCTATTTCTCCCATCCCACCCCACCCCCCCGCCCGGTCTCCCCCCTCCCTCCCATTCCCCCCCCCTCAGTCCTCATCTCTGTGTCTTTCATACTTGTTCCTCAAAATCCCTCCCCCTTTTTCCCCTTAAGTTCCCTTCCCTCTCCTCTCTGGTCGCTGCCCACTTGTTCTCTATTTCAGCGTCTTTATTTTTATTGTTTGCTTGTTTGTTTTATTCTTTAGCTTCCTGTCAAAGGTGAGATCATATGGTATTTGTCCTTCAATGCCTGGCCTATTTCACTCAGCATAATGCTTTCCAGTTCCATCCATGTTGTTGCAAAAGGTAGTAGCTCCTTCTTTCTCTCTGCTGCATAGAATTCCATGGTGTATATGTACCACAATTTTTGGATCCATTCATTTACTGATGGGCACCTAGGTTGCTTCCAACTCTTGGCTATTGTAAATTGTGCTGCTATGAACATTGTGGTGCATAGGTTCTTTGAAATTGATGTTTTAGGATTCTTGGGGTATAATCCTAGCAGTGGAATTGCTGGGTCAAAAGGCAGGTCAATTTTTATTTTTCTGAGAAAATTCCATACTGTTTTCCATAATGGTTGTACCAGTCTGCAATCCCACCAACAGTGAACTAAGGTCCCCTTTTCCCCACACCCTCTCCAACATTTGTTGTTTGTTGCTTTGTCTATTATAGCCATCCTGACTGGTGTAAAGTGGTATCTCATTGTGGTTTTAATTTGCATCTCTCTGATAGCTAACGATATTGAGCATCTCTTCATGTGTCTCTGGATATTCTGTATGTCCTCTTTAGAGAAGTGTCTGTTCAAGTCCTTTTCCCATTTTTTAATTGGGTTCGATGTCTTCCTAGAGTGGAGTCGTGTAAGTTCTTTGTATATTTTGGAGATTAAACCTTTGTCTGAGGTATCATTGGCAAATATGTTTTCCCATACAGTTGGTTGTCTTTTTAATTTAATACTGTTTTCTTTAGCCATGCAGAAGCTTTTTATTTTGATGAGATCCCATTTGTTTATTCTTTCCTTTATATTCCTTGCTCTAGGGCACATATCCGTAAAAATGTTGCTGCGTGGAATATCTGAGATTTTCTTGCCAATGTTCTCCTCTAGGACTTTAATGGTGTCATGGCTTATATTTAAGTCTTTTATCCACCTTGAATTTATTTTGGTGTATGGTGTAAGTTGGTGCTCAAGTTTCATTTTTTTGCACGTAGCTGTCCAGTTCTCCCAACACCATTTGCTGAAGAGGCTATCTTTACTCCATTTTATGTTACTGCCCCCTTTGTCGAATATTAATTGACTGTAGAGGGTTGGGTTGATTTCTGGGCTCTCTGTTCTGTTCCATTGGTCTATGTGCCTGTTTTTATGCCAGTACCAGGCTGTTTTGATTACAGTGGCTTTGTAATACAGTTTGATATCAGGTATTGTGATCCCTCCTACTTTGTTCTTCTTTCTCAAAAGAGCAGCTGCTATTCGGGCTCGTTTATGATTCCATATAAATTTTTGAAGTGTTTGTTCTATGTCTGTGAAATACGCCATTGGTACTTTAATAGGTATTGCATTGAATCTGTATATTGCTTTGGGTAGTATGGACATTTTGATGATGTTAATTCTTCCAATCCATGAACACGGTATATGTTTCCATTTGTTTGTGTCTTCCCTGATTTCTTTCTTCAGTGCTGTGTAGTTTTCTGCATACAGGTCTTTTACCTCTTTGGTTAGGTTTATTCCCAGATATTTTATTTTTCTTTTTGCTATATCGAATGGGATTTTTTCCTTGATTTCTGCTTCTGCTGATTCATTGTTTGTATACAAAAATGCCTTTGATTTCTGGATATTGACTTTGTATCCTGCTGTTTTGCCAAATTCATTAATTAGTTTGAGCAATTTTTGGGTAGAGTCTATAGGATTTTCCATGTACACTATCATGCAGCCACGGCCGGAAGGTGTGCCCTGACAAAAGGCAGTGGAGAAAAAGCAAGGAGGGCTTTGCATTGGCTGGTTTATAAGCCTCCCTCCTGTAGCTCTCAAGAAAGTGTCAGTTCTTGTTGACCTAGTAGAAATGATGATTGTTCTTTTGACCAGCGATTCTTATTCTGTGCTATCTAATCTTTTGAGATCATAGACCCACCTATGAAAGGATGGACTACCTCCCCAGAAAAAAAGACACATGTGTACATAAAATATTTTGTACACAATTATAGAATCCCTGTATGGACCCCAGATTTTAAAAGCCCTGTTTTAGACCATAGGTCCCTCAGTTATAGAATTCTACAATGTTAGACCAAAACCGAAATTTAAGAGATTGTTTTCATGAAACTATCTTATTTCTCAGAGGGTAAAGGCTAAAGTCAAGTAGGATAATAAATGGTTCTATGCATTTTCAAAGACCTAGTCTCCTGATGGAGAACTCCGCCATTCACCTAGTTGCCTCCACTCCTAATTTGCTCCTATCAAAACACCGTAGCCAGGTGGGACACCTGACACCACAAGTGGCTGGAATCAGGATGTCAGTGAACATTTGCAGAGCACGTGGACAAGCCAGGGTGTTAGGCACAAGTTCTTGTGCTTGAAGAGCTCACATGTCTAGAGAGACACATAGATACAATAGACTGTCATGTGGAATGTACAATTATAGATTGTAGGTTGGGAGGTGACAGAGAGGAGGGCAGCTCCACTTGGCTGCATGAGGCACAGATCCAGGAGAGGAAACATTTACACAGGGTCTTGAAAAATGAGCGCAGGATCACGAGGGAAACACTCTTCTGGCTGAGGAGACAAGCACGTGCAAAGGCAGAGAAGGGTGAGACAGCAGGAGGCACAGGGGGAACTGGAAGTGGTTGGGATTAGTTTCAGCACAGGCTGTGTCTGAGGAATTGCGGGGAGGTGAGGCTGGAAGTCTGGGGAGGGGG